CAACTCTTCATCAAGTGGTGACAAGACTTATTCATATTGATCATCAAGCATTGAGAGATTGAATGGTTTGAGGTTCTCCACATTCACTACATATTAAATCTCGATAGGTCCACTTGATATGCATTGTTACCTATCTTTCTGATAATGCAGAATGGGTCATATAGTGCATGTCAAAAGGACCTGGATGAAGGTAGCTCGGGCATACTTCAACTAGAGCTCAATTGGTAGCACCATTAAATGCAAATTGGATATATAGGAGGCTCTCGTCCCATATTTGGATGGTTAAAGTTGAAGCCTCTCAAAAAGATACACCATTATAGTGTAGTTCTCTTCATATTTGTATTCACCCTAATGTAAAACGACTTCTAAAGTTGTTTAGGCAACAAGAGCCATAAACAGAGATGATGAATTTTGGGAGCTTAAAATGCTCCCACTCATATAGATGAATAGTAGTGCCGCATCATCACCAATGAATGTTAGGTTTCATGCCATGAGAATGATGATCTTGGAAAACTTGTCTGCCACAACAAACATAATTATGATCTTTATGGGTTGTTAGTAAACCTTACAGAAAATCCATCATGATGTTATCCCAGGGCCAAGCTGGAATAGACAAAGGAATTTACATATTAATATAAGTCATGCAAGAAAACTTACGGAAATATTTTAGACACTAAGGACAAACAAGTTTTTTCTCAAAATAATTAATTTTGTCATAAATCTAGTTGAATTTTCAATCTTATTATTATTGAGGATTGAACTAAGTCTTGATAATAGATGATACTTATGTTCCTTTATGATTTGTTAACTATTAATTTTATTCTATTAAATACTTTAAAATATGCAAATTGTTGTATGATATTTAACACAAAATTTGTTAGAAGACACAAATGTGTGCTGAAATCTCTTCACTTATAAATTGTTATGATTGTAACTAGTGTTAAGAAGATAGTACGTAAAGTTAGAGAACACAATTTTATACCAGTGTCATTAAAAGCATGCTTTAGGAGTGAGGCAAAGTGATGAGTTGAACTTGCACATTGTTAGGGTATGAAATGCAAGCTTGCTGCAAATCACACGTCATGTAGAAGCTTTGTGCACTTATCTCCTTATTGTTTCTCATAGTCATTACGTTATTCTCATTGGTTCTCTGTTCTCTACCGCTGGAGCTAGTCTTTTCTTAGTAGTTTTTATATTGCATCACCTATTACCTTTTTTATATGCTTTAGTTCTTACTGGTAGTGCTAATAGCTTCTTTTTTTCTCAGAAATATTTCTTGCTATCTCATTTCACTCTACCTTCGTCTCAGTCTCTAATTTGTTACTCAATATCACAAGTACTTGGGCAAATAAGCTAGTCCATGAAATTAAAATTGGGATAGAATTTTGGAATATAGGTTCCCTTACAGAAAAATTAATGAAATTAATAGATATTATGATTCATAGGAAGATAAATATTATATGCATTCAGGAAATTAAATGAATTGGAGAGAAAGCTAAGGAGATTGATAGTTTAGGATTTAAATTATGCTATTATAGTAGGAGTCGTACTAGAAATGGTGTAGGTGTGATTATAGATAATAGTTTGAAGGATAATGTTGTAAAAATTAATATAATTATAGCTTTAAAAATTATTGTTGATGCTAAGATTATCAATATTATAAGTGCTTATTCTTCTCGTAGATTTGGATATGTGTTCAAAATTAAAATTTTGGAAAGACTTAGAAGAATTAATACAAAACATACCTCTCGAAGAAAGAGTTTGTATTCGAGGAGATTTAAATGGACATGTTGGTAGAGAGGTAGATGATTTTAAAAGCATTCATGGTGGCTATGCCTTTGAAGCGACTAATGATGGTGGTAAGATCATATAAGATTTTTCTTTAGCTTATGATTTTATAATAGCTAATGCCCTTTAAGAAAAGAGATGAACATCTCATCACTTATAAGAATGGATATAGTAAAACTCAAATTGATTATTTTTGTATAAGAAAAATAGATCGTTCATATTGCAAAGATTATAAAGTTATTCCGAGTGAAAGTTTATGTACCCAACATCACTTATTAGCTTTGGACTTTAAGATGAATGGGCAGAAAATAAAAATTAAAGTAAATCATTGTTCTAAGATTAGATTGAGGCATTTAAAGAATATTAACGAAAATATTTTGAGAGTAATATTTTAGATCTTAAGATTTTGTCTGTATATGAGGAAGCTAATGTTATGTGAAAAAAAGTAGCTAGCGATATTAAGAATGTTGCAAAAGATGTGTTTGGAGTATAAGGTAAAATCTGCTACTAATAATAAAAGTTGGCGGTAAAATCAAAATGTGCAAGAAAAGATAAAAAATAAAAAAGATTTATTATAAAAATTGATTTACCTGTAAAAATTTTGATAGTGGGGAAAAATATAAATAAGTCTGTAAGGAGTCTAAGAAAGCAATCTGCAATGCAAAGATTTTAGTTTTTAATGATTTATATAATATATTAGATACTAAGGAGGGTAAAATATGTATGTATAAGTTAGCGAAACAAAGAGATAGAAGTAGTAAGGATTTAGTTCAAGTGAGGTGTATTAAGGATGAAGACCAAAAAGTGTTTTTATTAGAAGAGGATATTCAACAAAGGTGGATGAGATATTTTGCTAAACTTTTTAATGAAAATTATGAGAATGTGATTGACTTTAGTGACCTTAGCACCCTAAATGAAAATAAAGATTTTTATTTTTATCGGCGTATTAGTAAAATCGAAGTTAAAGAGACTTTAAAGAAAATGAAGTGTGGAAAAGCTGTTGGACCTTATGATATTCCAATAGAGGTGTGGAAATGCATAGGAGATGGAGGAATTTCTTGGCTTACTAAACTTTTTAATATTATTTTGAAGACTAAAAAGATACTAGATGAGTGGATAATGAGTGTGTTGATTCCTATTTTTAAGAATAAATGTGATGCATAAGATTGTGAGAATTATAGAGGAATTAAGCTTTTTAACAAGTATATTCATGAGTTTAAATTATGTTGTTCATGATCATAAATGAGTAGAACAACATGCTTATTTATTTAACAACCTAATACTTATAAATATATTCAACATCATGAACGAGTTCTAATCAAGCCAATCCATAAGTAGGTTATCGAATGCTTGACTAGTTTGTAGGCCTATGGATTGCCCCTCATACAAACCAATTCCTTTCTTATGGTACTCAATCATAATCTTTCTTAGTGTGATGCTTTATTTGCTCGGCATACTTTTCATTAGTTTTTTTAGCACAAAAATGGCTTACATGTTGAATATCCCTTGCAAGATAGTGATTATTCAATATTGACGTAATTTATTGGAGGCTATGTTCATTATTCTATACCATAACTTTTACATATGATTTGTAAGTTCTGTTTCTTTATAATTAAAATAATGCCAAACATCTAATGTATTTTAAGTACTTATACCAAAACACTGTTCGAAGCATTTGATATTCTTTTAATATTTTTTTTGAAAATATTTGTTAATCGTATCAATATAATATCGCTCATTAACTCTGCATATCTCAGTAGATATTTCATGAGGACCTACCTATAGCTTCACCATTATGTATCTTCTTAATAGCGAACTCTACTCTATTTTTGGATTAGTCATAATAACTTATTATTTTTTCATTAAATAACAGTGATTTTTCAAAGTAGCATCTTTATATTTCTTGAAAGACAGCATCTTTATATTTCTTGATGTCTTTTTATTAATTATAATTTTATCATCTTCGTTTTTAATGCATCTTTTTTTTTTTCAATATCTTATCTTACATTAAATTAGTTAAATATTAAAATTATAATTTTTGCTTTGCTCACTATTATCTTGTAGAAATGTCAATTTTCTTTTCATCTTTCTAAAATCAATGATGAGTATTTATGTTAAATCTTTTTCCTCCACGGTATATTGCCGTTTTTAAGGTTTCATGTCACCAATAGTCGTTTGAGACTGATAAAAAAGCCTTCAATGAGTTTAGTTCTCTTTAGTTATTTTTGCTGTGCTCGCTGATGTGATGACATTATGTCAGGCTTGGGGATTTAGGTTTTGTTTGGGATGGCTTTTTTATTGCTTTGTAAAACAGCTTTTTAATACAAAAATTAAAATTTTTATACTAGAAAGTTATTTTAAGAAGCAGTAAGAAAGTCGTCCCAAACGAAGCCTTAGTTTTCTGTGGGAGTTTGATTACCATAAACGTGTATGAGAGCCCTTACCTACTCGGGCTTTATAGGTTGCTAGGTTTCAACCCCTCTAGTTGTTTATCCCAAATCAAGCTTCATTGCATACCCTTCCTTTGTTTTAATAGACGGATCTATCACTCTTTTATGTTAGAATCATTGGCAGGAGCCTTCACTCCGTTTTTTTCACTTTTGCCTCCTTAAAATGGCCTAAAAACTACTTCAGAATATCATTTAGATGGCGTTCAAAGTACCTGATACTTCCAACTTTGAAGAGCTAGAAAAAATTTAAGCTGAGTGTCATTTTGTCTGATAGCTCATGTTAAATTTGGAAATAAAAAATTTGGAAATCTTCTAGAATTTCAAGTTTCACATGATTCACCACAAGATTTAATTTTTTTTTTTTTTTTGGCTTCGTTTGGGACGGCATTCTCGCTGCTTCTTAAAGCAACTTTCTAGTACAAAAATTTAAATTTTTATATTAGAAAGCTGTTTTAAGAAGCATAAAAAAAGGCTTCGTTTGGGATGGCTGTCTCGCAGTTTCTTAAAGCAGTTTTCTAGTACAAAATTTTAAATTCTTATATTAAAAAGCTGTTTTGAAAAGCATCAAGAAAGCCGTCACAATTGAAGCCTTAGTTTTGTTATCGTCCAATTTATTTATGTGGGCCAAGTGAATAACCTGGAACTTAATAAATTATAGCTGTTTTTTTTTTTTTTTTCCAGTCTCTTGCACTGATTTCCCTTCCTCTTGTTCCCTCTTCCCTCTTTGTTTTGTGGGGGAAAAAAAAATTTTTTCTAAACTAGGGAGCACAGCATAGGCAAGGGCATCAGCAGCAGCAGCCAGGAATACTGAAGAAACCTGGTGAAGGAGACCCAAACTCGCCAAGAAATTAAACAAAGTGTTCTGTAATCTCATCCAGGAACTAAAGCTATCAGGCTAATCTGGCAGAGTTTGGTGATTACTCTGCCTTCTCATCCTAATTTTTGACCATCTATGCCTGTTCATTCCTACTTTTTGTTTGATTGGCTCATTGTAAGTTTCATAAGAAATAATTGAGCTGTAACTTAAGGTACTAATGTTGTGATGATTTTGCTATGGATTGTTATCAGTTTTTTTGGTGCAGGGTTGAAATATATCTATTATGAATAGGGTTGTTAAGTGATTAGAACAATTCAATATTGATTTTATAGAACTTATTGTGTTCGTTTGTTCCAATAATTGAATGAATCTTAACAAAAAAAATTTATGTTTATTCAATGACATGTTAGTTTATTGTTTAACAGGCTGCTCGTTAAGAACTCATTATTTTTATTTAATGATGAATTGCTTATTTAATGATTTATTAGTCTTTTTTTTTATACATTTAAAATATTAATATTATTGGGGTTATAACTTATAAGCATGATAAAAACTATGTACTCACAATATACGTATATGTAGACTTACTTATATTTAAATTTCATTATACAATATAGATATTATTTAATGAAATTTGTCAATTTTAGGCTTCATTTGGGATGGCTTTCTCAGTGTTTTGTAAAATTATTTTGTAGTATAAAAATTATTTGAAAATATATAAAAAATAGTGATCTAAAATTGTCTTAGGTTTTGTTTGGGACAGTTTTTTGTTGATTTTTAAAACAGTTTTTTAGTATAAAAATGTCTTGAATTAGAAAATTTTGGCAAGAACCCCAATCCGTGAAAGAACCCCACTGTAGCTCAAGGGATGGCCTATAAAGTGTCGATGATCATGCACCTGAATGGCATATATTGGGTATCATGGATGATCCTTTGTTTGTATATAAAATGATTGATCTCATCTCGAGGTATTTTGATTTGATCTCGAGTTAATTCAATCGAATCTAGGCCAAACTCAATTCAAGTTCAACTCAAATCAACTGTGGGGTCAGGCTGCCGGTTCAGGCGAGCCTGTCGGTGGCCATTTTGGCATTTTTCTTGTGGTGTTCACATTGGGCGCATAAGCATGGGTGTCGCAAGCTGATGATTAGGTCGTGGACTGGTCACGTTTTGCGCAAGACAAAGGAAGTAGGTGGATGAAGTAGATGTCAGGAGGAAGGAGGAGAATTCGGTTCCATCCGATAAGTCCGAGTAGAATACTTATGAAGAGAGAAGGCTGATTTTTACAATGTGGAGCTGTTGAACAAATTGAAGAATAAGGCAACGGCTGAAGGCTGACATGTAAAGTGGAAGAAGAACAACAGAACTTGTAATCTTTGATGCGGGCAGACAGGTAGGTGGGATAGAATTTGTCATGGTTAAAGATCAGTTTAGATCTTTTTTGAGGTGGAGCCTTCGGGTCATCGAATTTGATGTGTTGGAGCAATGGATCAAGAACCAGCAAGATCAAGAACCTCGAGGCGGCAAGTTGGTCACAGACTCGGAATTGGACGGGTGGCTCATGCGAAATTGCAAGTCTAAGCGCGCATGGGTGTATAGGAAAGATTGGGGAGCTGGAGTGTGCTCGATGCTGGAGAGAAGACATGCCATGCAAGAGCAAATGAGTGGGCTAGAAGCATGCAGTGCCCAACACGGGCATGCGGATCATGGAAGGAACATCTATAGGTGCAGGCGCGCGTGGGTTATAACGCGCTGGAGCGCGAGCTGGAGTCATAGATCGGAACTGATAGTGGAGGTTGTTCACGAGCAGGATTTGGCTCGGTTTGGCGGGTTTTATTGTGGAGATAATGCAATGAGCCAGTCAGATTGCAATAAGTGCACATGTGATTCTTTATCATAAAATCAGACAAAGGTGAAGATTGTTGTGTTGGTGGTTCAGTTTTAAATTTGATGCTTATAAATAGGCACTGTAAGAAGATGGTTTGAGCCCTATTATCATATAGCCTATTGAATAAAGGAAATTGAATTTCTTGTGAGCTCTCTCCTTTTCATCTCTCTCTCTCTCTCTCTCTCTCTTCAAAAAGAGCTTAAGCTTCCTCCCAAGAAACGTAATAGAAATGACCAGTAAAAAATTGGTAAAAATGTCAGTAGACATGCACTACTACAAAAAGTGCAATGCAAGAAGAAAATATTCAGTGAAGTTGAAGTGCGAAAGTGAAAAATAATTGATCGAATTAAGTAATTTTCTGAGTGAGTTATGATGTGGATCAATTGAAGGACAAAAGCCAAGCATATCATCATCGATCATGATATAGATTTCTTTTAAGATAATTTTTTTATTGTTTTCTATAATTATCACTTGAAATTGACCTATTCCTGATGCAAATTTAAGATGTTCTTTATCAAAATATAATATTGTATTCATTAAGTTAAAATTTATCAGTAAAACAACCCTTTTTCTAAATTATGCACTTATGTTAAAAGAAAATAGTGGGCCAATGCATCATAAGATATTTCAAATATGTATCAATCATGTACTTATTAATGACTTGATCACCCAAAGTTACAATCCCTCTACTAGAACTATTACTATTAAAATTACACTCCGTGTCTTTGATTTTAGATCTACTTAAATCAAAAACTTTAGGCTCTAAGATTGACCTCCATACTTCAAGTTTTCTTTCAACTCCCTCTCTAGTCTTATCAAAAAGAAAAATATCATGAGCAAAAAGCATACACCAACGAAAATCCTTCTGTAAATGTCTAGTAAGAACATCCATGACTAAAGCAAAAAGATATGGGCTTAAAACTGATCCTATATGTAATCCACATGAAATAGGAAAATACTTGGTCAAACCGCCTTGTGTTTAAACACAAAAAACTGCTATATATATATATATATATATATATATCATTAATGACTTGAATATAAATATTATTAACTCCTTTCTTTTCTAGAACTCTTCCAAACACTTTTCTTGAAACTTTATCATATGCTTTCTCTAAACCAATAAATATCATATGTATACACTCTTCATTCTCTTTCTACTTCTCCATCAAATCTCTCAATAAATTTATAACTTTCATAGTAGACCTCTCCAGCATGAATCCAAATTAATTTTGAGAAACCTTAGTATCACATCATAATCCATGCTCAATAACCTTAATTTTAAACATACAATAAAAAAAAAAAACAGAAAAACACCTAATGAGAAAATAGAAGACATTTAAATTAAAATAAAATAAAAGACATTGCTAGTAAATTAAAAAAAACAACAATGATAGTCATTTCCCCAAAATGTTTCAGCCAGGCTTTACTAGGTAAAAAGATTACAGCTTGAGAAACTTCCAGGCATTACGAAGCTCAAGATTCATCATCAAATCTTTCTGAGGAGAACTTGAACACCATATTGTGGTTCAAGAGTAAGGAGCAGCCTGGGAGAATGAACATAGGACGGGGACAATTCAAACTCAAATCTTTGGAGGATCATAGAGAGCGCTACCTTCAGCTCAACAAGCGCCAGATTTTGGCCAACGCAGATCCTTTGTCCTAATCCGAAGGGAAAAAATGCTGCAGGATTGTCGCCTTTATCAACATTGGAGAATCGGAGAGGGTTAAATTCATTCACATCTGGACCCCAAAGCTCGGAATCATGATGGATCGAAATTACAGGCATGTAGAGGAGTGTGCCCGCAGGGATGTTGATTCTGCTAAGCTTAACGTCCTTTGTTGTTACTCTATTGAATAAAACTGCAGGAGAGTAGAGGCGCATAGTTTCCTTCAGTATCATGCTCACCTGTTGCAAGAAAGTCGTCACAAAATCAAGCAAGTTGTTGTATGGACATTTATTTGAGCATTTGTAAACAAGATAGCAGTAAAGCAGCAAAGCCCTGCATTGAGTACCCATACCCACATCCACCCATGTACTCACCATCGGGGGATAAATTGATTTACGTTGTTAATCATCGTATATCTTATATTACTGCAATCCTCACTACATAATGTGCAGCACTTAATCACACTGCGACTACGATAAATTTTGATATGCGGCTTGAAAGTTTGCAATCGTAGCAAAGGGCAACAAGCCTCAAGGCCATAAGTCAGTGGCAGACTGCGTTCAAAAAGTATGGAAAGTGGGTGGGTATAGGTGGGTACGACATCCTGAAAGTCACCATGGTTGGGGGTGGGTGGGCGAAGCCCATCCGAGTAAAGCATGGTTACCCAACCAGAACCCCATGTAGAACTTTGCAAAGAAGGCCCCCTTTAATCATTAAAGAATTGCAATTGAGCAAAGAATGTCTAGAAAACAAAGGAGGAGTTGATCTCATACAGATACATAGATGTGATGTAATTTCTCCCTGCTTCACGCCTTCACCCATACAACAATGATATAATGTAATAAGGTATTCTACTTTCATAAATCGAACTTGTAAAAGGTTTAAAAGTAAAAAGGGGAATAAGAGAAAAACACACTCACCAGTTTGAATCTATTCAAGTCTTCTATTTCAGGATGTCTGTGCCTACTACAAATGCTTGTCACTTCTTCTCGTGCCTTAATCTGCCAATCTTGATGAATTGCTAGAAGAAGTATAGACCAAGTCAACACATTCGCTGTTGTCTCCTTCCCAGCAAAGTAAAATGTTTTGCATTCATCAATGATTTCTTGAGTTCCAATTTGATCTTTTCCTTCCTTCTTGGTAGCAGAAATCAGTAACCCAAGAAAGTTTTTAGAATTTTCGCATTTCTCTCCATTGATGTGGATCAGTCTCTGCAATGAATCCTGAATTTCTTTATTCAATCTCCATCTTTTACGATTCTTGGTTGTTGGTATAAACCTGTAACAAAAAGAACAACAATTACAAGAAGATTTGAGAACAAAAGGGAAAGATGAATTGCTCTAAAATCTCACCTGAAACCTGGGATGTACACGCTTCTCAATGCAATAGAAACAAGAGGCAGTAGTTCTTCTTGCAGTTCAAAAATTCTCTTCCCCTCCTCATAATTGCTGCCAAATGCGACACTAGAAATGACATCTGCTGAGAATTTGTGGCATTCCTTGTGAATATCAATTTCAAATTCGGAATTCTTGCCAACTTGCAGCTCCCATTTATGTAGCATGTTTGCAGCTCTTATGGAAATTTCAGGTATCCATGACTAAACAAACAATTAATGGTTTTAGATAATACAGGAATAGTAGAGGAGAATGATGAACTAGCTCTAATTTCTGATGGATAATATTCAATAACTCCCATTTATTTAGGTATATTTATATTAATATAAATATAGAACCACCATGAATGTTGAATGACAATATTACCTCTATTTCTTTTGTTTTAAGTTTTTATACTGAAAAAAGAATCAAAATGATCCCTCAACTTTTTAGGAAGGATCAAGATTGTCCTCAATAATCTTGAGGAACCATTTCTGTCCTTCAACTCTTTAAAATGAGTTCATTTTGATCCCAACATTCAAACAAGAGGATGTTGGATTTAATAGTGTTAAAATTAGGGGTATTTAGTAATTTTTTAATTAAACTATTTATTAGATATAATTTTCCAAATAATTAGAATTAAAAAAAAATATTAATCATTTATTTAATAAGAGAAATTAATAGTATTTTTAGTTATAATTATAAAAATTTTAGTCATATTTTATAAATTATAATTGGTAAAAATATTTGTGACTAAAATGAATATTTAACTATGGGATCTAGTGGCAGCAGCAGCATCAGATTGTCTTCCAACAATGCATTTGAAATTTAAATCCTCTTCATTTGGCTTACTTACCTCACATCCAAAATAATTCAAAAGGAACAACCCTTAAGTTAACATTCATTCCAATTAAAATTGTTCAAAGCATCTGACCTAATTTTTGTCCATTTAGAACTTTTGCCTTTATGTATTAAAAGTTTAAACGGATTATATAAAGCTAATTCGAATCTCTAGGATCGATGCTGCATGATTCAATGTTGTGCAATCAATTCTGCACAGGCAAACAGTTTCTGTACAAGCAGAAAGAGGCTGCAAGAGCAATGCTCGGATTTGCGAACAGTTTTTGCACAAGCCGAAGGTCGGAAAGTGGTGTTCAAAGCTGAGGGTTAAAGCTGCTGGGGGGTTCGAAAAAGGTTTTCGTTGCCGGGGTTTCTAAGCTTTGGTTCGTAGTTATTAATGTTTTGTTTCACTTACTTTTTTGTTATTTCGATTATATCCTTGTGGAATCCTTCTGCCATCCAATCTTCAGGGATCAAAATGATCCCTTAAAATAGTTGGGGACTATTTTGATCATTTACTCTATTTATTTTCATCTAAAGAGGCAAGCATTCTGAGTTTCCAGTTTCCATAATCGTTAGAAATACAAAGAGAAGCACTCAAAAGCATCTTACTTGATAACTTCTTATCCTTAAACTTGATCTACAATACAACATTGTGTTTGAACTTGGGTGAACGATCCTAAATAACAGATCCAGGAGGCTTCAAAAACTAGCAATAAATTATATATGCATGCAAAGCTTGGGGTGCGTAAGAACATAATCCACAAGAATTATCAAAAACTCCAAAAAGTCGCTTATCAAGCCTAAGATATGAAGGGAGAAACTTGAGAGAAGAAAAAGCCTGAGTTTGCTGAATTAAGGAAGGAATTTCATGATCCAAGTATGAATACTAGCTCTAGTTCCGTATTTTAGGATAAGTAGGATTAGATTTTGATTCCATACTAACATCAAAGGAAGTTCATAAATGCTTCATAATTTTATTTCCAAAGACCGTGTTTTAACGATCCATGCAGAGGTAATAGAGAAAGCTAGATTTTGAATTTGTTGCCAGAGAGATTTCCACTCATCAAGAGAATTAGTAGCATATAGAACAAAAAGAAGAATTGGGGGAGAAGAGCAAGAGGAAAGTTTCCCATGTATAATTTGAGGAGAAAAGAGAGAGGTGGGAGAAGGAGAAGTAAGAGGGGTTCCATTTTAGCCATATTCTTCTAGGGGTGGAAGCACTAAAATTATCACAACAAGTTTCATTTTCAAAAAATTTGTGAGATTGAATAAACCAATTGTTCAGAGCCAAGGAGCAATGGATTTTAGCTTCAAGGATGCACAACATTTTAATTTTATCAACTTGACAAGCTCTCTACAAGCAGTCACTTTCTCAGGGTTATTAAAACCTGTAACATTCCAACTATAAATGGGAGGAAGGGTCATTGGGTTTTGGGTGCTGAGGGTTTTGCCTTATTGGCATATTTAGACCTTGTATGCTTGGGGAGAAGAGATTGATCTAGCTTTTTCGGGGGAACCTCGGAAGTGTGAAGGGACTTGTTTGGAACTGAATCTGAGGGAGGGTCTTCTGTTTGCAAAACAGCAAACTTATTGGGTGAGGAGATATTGGCTATGTAGGGAAGGATGGTTGATAGGATTTGACTGATAGGAGGCATGTTGGATGTGGAGCTAACATTAGCAGTAGGCTGATGCGTCGATAATGAGGGAGGAGGTTATTATTGGAATGGGGAGGAGTTTTGTTTTTAGGTTTGGGAACAAAGGATTGGGATCTGTGATTTCTGCTAACACTTATACAACTGGGATGACAGTTAGGTTGTTCTTTTGAAGATGGGTTAGAGGGGCATAAGCACGGAGGGTGCATAAACTGCAATCATTACATGGGGTCGACTTCCAATCCAATCATAAAAAACTTTAAGAAACTGATCTTCACCATCCAACAGAATTGAAATTTCATCAGGCAGAGGAGAGGCGCTAGTGATCTGAACACAAATCCTAGCGAAGGTTAGACGAGTTTTCTTGGCAATAAGAGAATCTACAACTAGGGGAGGTCCAACATAACTGGCAATTTTAGAAATACCCGAAGAGTTTCAGAGAGAGGGGGTGATAAGGGATTTTGATCCATAGAGGTATGGAAGTGAATTCATCACACTTATACTTAAATTTAGGGAAGGGACATTTTTGTTGGATAAATGGTTTCCCTTAGAAGAACCATGGCCCCCCGGACAAGGCCATGTCATAATCTTCCGGAGAGGTAAATTTTAGTAGAACAAAACCATCACTCAAGGAGAGAAGTGAAAGCAAACCTTTCAGTCTCTAACCTTATTAATAACAGAGAGTAAGTTTTCGTAGCAAAGTCGTCGGTCGATCGAGTATCCAACAAGAGACAAACCCCATTTCGAAGTACCTTCAAAGATTTCTTCGGCGAAAATAGGTATTTTATGATGAGGAGAGACGAACAAGATCGGGAACTTATTCAAGAAAGAGTCTCGGTTGGTGATGTTAGATTTCCAATTTAGGGCGGAGGGAGCGAGAGGAGTGCCCAATAAGGAGGAGCTGGGAAGGTGGGGGAAGTCTTGAGGATTAAGCTCCATATGGGAGATGGAATAAGTATTTCTTCGCCAAGTCGGCCAAAGCATGGTTGATTATTACTAAGTCGAGTATTATTCCGAAGAGTAAACTAAAGTATGGTCCACATTAATCTCCTTGATTATAAACTATTTATCAAATATTTGAATGGCTTAATGATATTAGAATTGTGCAATCTTATGCTTGTTAGATTCATCTTGTCAAGCCGCTCAATTTGACTATAAGCATATCATAATTAAAGAGATTTAGACCTTCAATTCATGTCCAAAAACTTCTGAATATATTTTGTGTGCTTGATTTGATATCATTTGGAGTTGATCTCATTATCTGTAGTGTCGATGAGTTTGTCTTTTGATAAATTCAATATAAATTTGTAAAAATTAGAGTTTGTATGATCTTGAATTCTATTATGAAAGTTTTTAATTCCAATACTGTCCCAAGATTAGTGCCAATCAAGCAATTTTTTTTCTGGATGTACAAAAAGAAATTATAGAAATAAACTTGCAATGACATAAAAATACCGCCTTTCCTTTTTTTTTCGTTTAATATTTAATTAATTGAGAAATAATTATGATGTTAATTTAATAAGCATAATTTAATTAATCTAATTAAGACTTGTAAAAAATATTTAAGAAGTGTGTATAAGTCTTTATTTTCTTAAGTAAAAATAATTAATTTTGCATAGGTTATATGCTAATGTATTAATCAATTCTCTAGCAACAAGTCAACAATGATGATCAACCTAAATAAATGCAAAGCTCAAGAAATAAAAAATTATATTAATTTATAATTATTTCATGAGTGCATGTATTTGTACTAACTATAGTTATTTCATTATAATTTTATTTATATAAAATTCATTAAAAAAATATTAGAAAATATTATAAATGATTTTTTATTATATTTAAATGAGAATTTGATTCTTAATATAACATAATAGAGAAAATTGATTCATGTAGCCGACCCCACATAGTGCGATAAAGGTTTGATGTTGTTGTTGTTAAGTTGTATTGTCAATCAGGACAAGATTTATCAAGATTTAATCTTTTAAGCCAAATAATTTTGAATCAGAGAAATCAAATGTATGTGAGTTAATAACTAAATTCACTCAAAATTAAAATAATAATAATAATAATAATCAATCAACCAAAAAATGGAATAGCTCTACAAGAAATAAATTTTCGTTAGTTGTTCTTGTAAAAGAGAACTAACCTTTACAGTCTCCATGCTGAAAGCTGGTCCAACTATCCTGCGATGCCTCGCCCACTTCTCCCCTGTGAGCCCAACCAATCCCTCGCCGAATAGGTCCCTGCTCGCGGGAACAAACCCTAACTTATCGATCGCGCCGCTAGTTTCACTCATCGCAGCCCTGACTGCCGTCGGATCTCCGATCGCCAGGCGCGGCTGCGAGCCAAACCAGTAGAGGAATGAGCGGCCGTACCGCGCTGACCAGTGGGCGTAGTGCGGCGCCGCACGGCCGGCTACGTCGTGGCTGAGCCCCGGCGTCGGAGAAGACTGAGCAGCCGCGAACAGCCGACGGATTTCGCCGGCGTTCCCGCCGGACAGAAGGCGGCGAGGAGGACCGCTGATTCCCTGGCGCCGGAAGTGAAGCTGGATCTGGTGCGGAAGCCAGAGGTATGAGTAGACGGCTTTGAGGAGTAAGAAGATGGAGAGGATGATCAGAATCGGTATGAAGAGAGACATTACTGGAGGGAGAGTGGCGACCGACTGTGGAGAGCAGCAGGAATTTGGCTTGCAGGGTTGACTGAAAGGGGCGACTTTGCAGCAAATTTAAAGTTTTAATTAAAATTATATATTTGCATTTTGTCATCATTGTTGTCGCATTATCATCATATTTTTTTCCCGCAATTTTCTCAGAAAAAAAAGAAGAAAAAAAAAGACAGTTATACCATGCTTTTTAAATAATTTTATTTATTTTTTAAGTTAAGGGAACTTTGGATTTTGCGGAAGTCAACGGATTCGGTAAGCGCAATTTGTCAGCGACTGTGACTCGCAATATATTCATTTTTATGGTTAACCAACTCTTTTATTTGATTTTTTTATTTTTTATAAATTATTTTTGCCAAATTTTAGAACTTTATTTTTAATAAATTTAAAATTTGTTGTTAATGTTAAATAAAATTTTGATGTTTTTACTAAAGAGTTGTTTAGGGGGACTAAAAAGAATGTAATGCATTATAAATATTTTCGAATTTGTTAGATGATTGTAAAATAAATAATGGTATATTTTTTGTTTGGTTTGAATTAAAATTAATACGATGTGAAGTCTAATAATTATGGTGGCTAGTTGTCGATAGTGGTGGGGCAAATGCGGGAGGTGAGGAAGATAATGTAAGAGAATTTACAATGTATTTGAAAATCAATCAAATTTAACGATTTTAAAATACTTAAAAATTAAACTGGCGGGTAATTTCAAATACTTCAAATTTTATTTCGCATTTTTTTAAATCAAACACTAATATTTTCATAACTCTTATATTTAAAATATTTTATATTTATTATACTTTAAATCAAATAGTCTAAATTTAATAGTCATTTTAAAAAGAACAACAATAACATCAAGCCTTTATCCCACTACGTGTGTGGTCGGCTATATGAATTTTTTATCGCCATTGTCTCTTGTTAAAAGTCAAATTCTCATTTAAATCTAATAAAGAAATGTCATTTATAATACTTTTAACAAGTCTTTTTAGATCTACCTCTACATTTTTTAACATAGGTCAAATCTAATACATTTACTCTCCTAACATGAACATCGGAAGACCGCCGTTTTATATGACCAAACCACCTAAAATGACTCTTTCTAATCATATATGTCATTGAAGCTTCACTACTAATAAAATAGGCTTTCGCTCTACTTTTTCTATCCTACACCAATGATTAAAACATCCACTATTTAATTTGCAGTGGTTTCAAAATCGTCGCACATCCGCCGTATTTGTTATCAATGCAAACGACTTCTGTAGCTCTATTTAAACCGCTACTTTAAAGGAAGTTTTAGCAGCAGTTATAACCACTATAATTTTGATATAATGCAATGGTTTTAATGCCTACAAATTTGAACAATGGGTTTATAAAAATCATTTCCAACAATAACAACATCAAAACGACATGGCTTTTATTACCAAAATAACTTTTTCAATTAAAAAAATTATTTAAAAAAAAAAACTTTTTCAATAGAAGTTTGTAGGTATGCTCCACCTAAAATATACACAATTGAGAAATAAAATTTACAGACAGGTGCTCAGTACAAAGCAAAAGCACACATCTCAAAGGAATGGTGATTTAATTTAATTTTTTTTTTTTTTAAGGAGTGCCAGTATAACTTTAGAAGTACAATAAATGTATCAAATAAATAAATATATTTATCTTTAAATATTTGAATTGGACTAAAAATATGAATCATACATATTACTATACCAATCTCGATTGGAACATATATATCCATTTATATCTTATAATAAAATAATATATTAAAATAATCAGTATCAAATTTACATTTACTTAAAGTCAATTAAAATTTAATTATGGCTCAAATTTAGATAAAAATTAGTAAATAAATTCAAATAAGAACTTGTATCATGCTTAAACTCAAATTTAATAAGAAATAAATAAAATTGCTTGAAACAAAATAATACAAAAGGGCTACTTGGTTGGAAGTAAAGTGAGTGTGAAGTAAAGTAAATGTAGAGGCTTTGAGAAGTTAGATGTTTGGTTGAATGAAAAATAAATTCAAGGTAAATTAAAGTGAATACAATGTATTTCATTCTAGTTCATTTATAGGTTTGAGCAAGAGTTGTTTACACCACTCCAAAAGCCTGCTTGACCACCGCTGACAATCACTGTCTCCTCCGCCACTCGCCACCATTCACAGCTGCCCACCATGGCCACCGTCGTCCATCGTCATTGCCTTCGCCACCACTGTCATCGGCCACCACCGCCGCCCACCCCCTACCACTACCGACCACCAACTGTAGTCAACCACCACCTCCGCCTCCACCGTTAGTAGCCCGCCACTACCCACACCCCTACCGCTGTTGCCAGTCGGTCACTTCCACCATCGGCCACCACCACAGTCGCCCTCCAGTGCCGACCGTCGGCCACCGTCGACCCCCCCGGCACAATAATTTTACACTTTAATTCAATCCATACAAAAAAAGTAAAATCATGCATTTCTTTTACACTAATCCAAATAACTCCAAATTACTCCTTTTACACCGCATTCCTTTTACATTGCATTCCTTTTTCAAGCAACCAAACAGCCCCTGTTATAACTTAAAAATTTACCAAAAAAAATATTTTTTAACTATAACAGTCATAAATTATTTCGAAGATCATTATAAGTTTAAATCAGAATCAATCTTTGTCATAACTTAAATATTTGTGGTGTTTTAGTTTCACTAAATCTTTCATAATTTTTGGGCATTGATGAAATTCCTTAAGAAATTGACACCAAACGATAATGGCGGAGGTTTTTGGATTGTCATATGTCCGTTTTGTAAACCAATTTCACCATTTTTTTTTTAATAAAATGAGCTTTTTTTTAGAAGGGTGAGATATTTTTGGGTTTTGGGTGATCATTTTATTTGTTTTTTATATGCATATGTTGCTTACAATTATATTAAGTATTTTGAGATGGATGATTCACCTCAGCTAGATCCAAATATGACCAATGGTCAAAACTCTAGTTAGGTAGTTAATGGGTGACCGAGGTGGGACTCTGTTATGTTGGTGCATGTAGGGTATCAAGTTGGATTCTGTTAACAAAGCTATAAAGATATGTTAAATTTAGGAAGAGATCCATTCCGATAAAATGAATATTTGCTTATAATTCATTTAGTTTCAGTTTTAGCTTCCGCTTTAGTTTCAATCTTAGTTTGTTGTACTCTACTTTAACCGTTACAGCATAATATTTTTAATTTTTTTTACTTTTAATTATTGATTTTTGTTTTAAGCTGCAATAGTCTAATGAGAGTGTTAGCTCATTAATTCTTTTGTTTTTGTTTTCAGTCATGGGAAAGATAAATAGCGAGCTGAATAGTTTTGGATAACATACTCTTATATATGCTGTAGTCATGTTTTTTTAGTTTTGATTTTTACAGATTTGACATTTTTTTGTTATTCTCTCTGTTGCTAAGTATTCTTGTAGCTAGACTTCAATTTGTATATATTTTGAATAATATATAAAAATTAGTTTGAGATTCAGTAGTCTTTCACTTTATATTGCATTCAATAATGGCTATATATAGTATATGAATTGGAAGTTTTATTTCAGTACTTCTTCAACTAAATTTTGGGGTTAGTCTTGTCATAACTAGACACGGTATGACCTATATAATATTGGGTCATATCAAATCAGGTTGTAACAGCACCTAAGATTGACACAATTTAGTAAAATCCAAGAACTCTAAAGCCAAAGGATCGTGCAGGTTACCAACGCTTAAATGCTAAAAATAGAAGCCATTGTCATTTGCAAGTAGATTACAATTTTTAACTACACTATTAGGAATTTTTTGACATATCAGATCAGTTGCTATTCCTATGGTGTTTGAAAAAGTTATATAATCTCGTCTCCAACTTTTCTATCATAATGGTGAAAATCATATATCATGCACCATCTCTTGGAGAAATTATTACATCCGGTCAAAAACCGAACAGTCCGAATGTATACCGAGCAATACCGAGTCCCAAATACCGAGTTTTAGGTGATGTGACATGTGGTTATTGGTCTCTGAATGCATTCAAACACCGGATGTAATGAGATGAGTCATTATTTCCCTTCCCAAAGTGAAAATAAAAGTTTTTACTATATTAATTTCAAACTTTTACCTCTATTTTAACCACCATAAAAATAGTTAGCAGTGATTCTAAAACAGGTGCAAGACAATCGTGATCGCTACAAATGCTTTTTGCAACCACATGAGTTTAAAATTTGCAGTAGTAACTTTAGCACCGGTCTAAATCAACACGATACTTAAGGGGCATAGAGATTTTGGGAAAAAGACAATATCAGGCTGGGCAAAAGAGGTGAACTAAATGGGGTTCGCAACAATATTTTAAATCATTGCAATATTTTAAATATAGCAGTGACTTAAACTACTACTATTTGTAGCGGTTTAAACTGCTATTAATTTCTAGAAGTAGCAGTAGTTTAAACCGTCACTGTTGACCGCTACGCTCAACGACGATTTTTGTAGTGGGCGGTGTTAGCATCCCTTCTCTCAATTCATTAAGCTATATATGCAAGTTGTAAACAGGATGGACATGGAAGAATAACTGCTTCAAGATTCATATAGAAATTTGTAGAAAATATAAGATTTGTATTTCTTGTAATATTTGGAATGACAACTCTCTCTACATCTATTATGATCCCTGCTTGAATGGTGATTCCATTGTTGGTTCTATTAATGCCTATGAACACACTATTCTTGGCATACCAGATGATGATACTATTAGCTCTTTCATAAATGGCATTTGCAAAATAAATATCGATTTCACAGGTAACCAAGCTGTTTGGTTTGCTAGTTGCTACAATCACTTCTCCACTAAACTTGCTATGTTCTTTAAACATAATATCCCTGATGAGATAAATTCTAATTACTTCAATGGTTATTTGTCCTGAGATATGCAATTATGAATTCTCAATTGGTTCTCCAGCTCTCTCTATGCTTTTTACTTAATTAATTTAATAGTTACATTTGCCAAACAAAAAAAAATGATGTTTTATGTAAAACAATTTCAAAAAATAATTCTCTTTGCTGCAGCTTTACTATATGCTTTATCACAATTGCAGCTGTCTCAAGCAGACCCTCAATCTTATATATGTTTATGATGTTTGTCCTGTGATTTGGATGGACGGCGATAAGCAATGTTCCTGATGGTTTATCCTTGTAATTTTGTTTGGGACGACATTCTTACTGCTTCTTAAAGCAGTTTTTTATACAAAAATTAAATTTGTAGTACAATAAAGCTTCTTTAAGAAGCAGAAAAAAGCCGTCCCAAATGAAGCCTTAATTTTCAAACCTTAAGCTGGTTCTTTCATGGCGCATTTTGGCAGCCTCTCTGGCATGGCCATGAGTATAATATATTTGATAACATCCCTAATCTATGCTTAGCATATATTTTCTTCGGGCCATTTATGTGTAGCCTTGTGCTTAAATTATTCTTTGGGATGTTCTATGTACTCTTTTATGGCTGAATTATTGTCTCTGCTCATGATTTCATTTAGTTCCAGGTTATTTGAAAATGGATGAAACTGATGATGGAGTTAGTTCTATGGAGTAAAAAGCCCGATCTTATGATGTGAGTGTTATAAATCGGAGAAGTAGAAGATGAACAGTAACTTGAATGGAAAAAGCTTGCTTATGCATTCCAGCCTTCCGGTATTTAACAGAGAGAAAAAGGGAAAAAGTTCCCTGAGCATGTCAGATGACCGTTAGTGGTCAGTTGGAAAAGGTGGTGTGTGTATCATTACATGTGTAAATGGATCATGATGATTAATAATGATGCTTTAGTAAGTGGTAACTTAACATCCCCCCTCAAATTAACTATATAGTTTACTGATAGTTAATTTGTTGCGGAGTGTAATGAAACGAGAGGTGGACAGAGGCTTGGTTAAAATGTCAGCCGGCTGATCGTCGGAGTTGATATGAGCTGCAACAATGGTGTTCTTCTGGATGTGATCACTAATAAAGTGATGATCAATTTCTATATGCTTTGTTCTCGCGTGAAACACTGGATTGTGAGCGAGAGCAAGAGCTGAAATGTTGTCACAGAATATTGTAGTTGGCTGATCAAGATGAATCTGAAAATCAAGTAGAAGGCGTCGTAGCCAAATGACATCAGACAGAGCCGAAGCAAGAGCTCTGTATTCTGCTTCCGTAGATGATTTAGAAACTGTTGTTTGCTTCTTCACACTCCAAGAAATGAGATTGTTACCCAGGAATGTGCAAAATCCTGTGATGGATTTGCGATCAGTGGTGTCCGAGGCCCAATCGGCATCACAGTAGGTAGTAAGTTCCATGGAGCCTTTGGAAATAGGGAGACCAAGATGTTGAGTTCCTCTGAGATAACGAAGAAGTCGTTTTAGTCTCATATAGTCATATATTGTGGGATTATGCATAGTTTGGCAGATGGTGTTGGTCGCAAATGAGAGATCTAGTCGCGTGATTGTTAGGTAGTGCAGAGAGCCTGCCAATTGCCTGTAATGAGTGGGATTGTCGTAAGGTGTAAGATCTGGTGCACTTCTACATCCAGAAGGAGATATCAAAGTGCTGGCTGATTTGCAATCCTGCAATCCCGAAGCCTGGAGAATGTCACGGGCATAATGGGATTGGTGTAGAAAAGCACCTGTGGAGGTGTAATGTATTTGAATGCCAAGAAAGCGACGTGGTTGTGTGGACCTCCGAAAGAACACCGCACGAACGGGTCGATTGGAAGGGCAGATTGGATCGTGCATACGACTAACCATTGAGGATAGGGGCTGTCTCCAACACACCCCGATGGGTAGTAATATACACGACCTAGTCACGGGTTTTCCCCATCCGATACAAAGGCTCGAATGGGGTTTAGTAGATGTGGGGCCATGTTTCCCACGGGCGCAAGCCCCCGTGGTTAATTACATCCCAGGCCGAAGCCCGAGAAAACTCTCGATTAAGGATCATACATTATCCTCTTTTAAAGTGAGATTGGCACAATGGTATAGACTAAGAAGTCCTACTCAAAGGAAAGAAAGGTCCGAAGGGCCGAATCAACTTGCATGGTTCATACCAGCATTCGAAGGCTCTATAGTACTAAAGATAAATTGGGAAAAGAAAATCAAGCACTCAATCACATACGTGAGAGAAAAGATGGAGGTGGCGTCATCCTGTGACGCAGATAAGTAGGATTTATAGTCCCTGAAAGGAATGGACCTACCTACTATTTGAGGCATACTACGAGACCGAATGTAATAGCCTTGAATCCTGAATCTAGATTAGGCTTAGTGTTCTATGAACACTAAGACCCGTGTCCTAGCTGATGCAGTGAAAAACCTGGACTTATCTCGGCCTGGATTGGGGAGCCAGCTAACCACCTAATCGCTTTCAAACCATGCTATCCAGTCAATTATGAAAGATGGGTAGGAGGTACAGTTATTGGAAATAGGACCGACATCTAGAGAGTTTCCTAATTGGTCCCAAACTTATGTTGGTAAATGCTCCTAACTAATGCAATTAAATTTTAATTCAATTGATTTTTAATTCAATGCATGTTAGTTGAAATGTCAGCTCATGAATGCTTTAGATTTTAAAAAAATAGGCTTAGTATAAAATAATTTTTAGAAAAGACTGAGTCTCCCTAGGTCCGGCACTTCATCCTCATAGGCCAGATTATTCGGACTTACCCACAGGCAGGGAGATGTCTTAATAGAAGGAAGAGAAATGCATTAATATGCATGCGACCCGGACGGTTCCGGCAGTTCCCTAGTTTCGTTAGGTTTCTATGTTATTTAAAACTTAAATATTAAATTGTTGGTTATGAGTAGAAGAGTTTTATAGTCCTTAAAGAGCCTAACGCAATCCAGGCTAAAACAAAATCGACATGCAAGAAAGAAACCTAGAAAAAAGTAGGTAATTTCTAATGCGCAATCAGGTAAACACATCAATATAAATCAAACTAATCAAGTAAATGTCCATAGGCCCAACTGCCCTTTAATTACAACCCAGGGTATGCAAAAAGTAAAGTGGCTGGGCACCTACTGCCAAACAACCCGATTTCTAAGCCTATGACAGACGCAATGACTTTGAGTGGATATTGGCCTTCAGGTCTTCAATCTTCTTTGGATCAATTTCCTTGGACTCCTTGAATCTCCCTCCTTGGATTCCTTAGAAATTTCCTCCTTGGACTTCTTGGATCCGTCGTGATTTGAATATCCAAACGAAGAGACAATTCTCCCCTTTGGGGATGATTGTCTTTTCTCTTTGGATATCTAAAGCCATCCCACTCGATCTCCCAAATGAAAAAAGACTCTCCCCTATGAGGATGTCTTCTTCTTTTTGGGATTCAAGTGGGATAAGAATATCCACACTCAAAGGCCATTTTCACAACTCTTAACTTATTATTACAAATTTTTACATTAATTGAAAAGCAGAAAATTCTAAAGGACCTGCGTGGTTATCCTAATAAAAATCTCAAGCAGTTTATATGAAAATAAAAGTGCTAACATCATTGACCATGTACCAAAGCCATGCTCTTAATTTTGAGAGCTAAGCGCTCCACCTGTGCAGTTATAATTAATTTAGCCCTCATTTTATTTAGGGGGAGCTGAGCAAGCACCTGCATAAAACACATTATTAGAAATCATGACATTGCTCCCCCCTTTTATCAGCATGAGCATGGCCACCTGCACGGAAGAACAGTATATATATGCAGGCTCCTAACCTATGGGTAAGTCTAACGCTCACATCCAGAGTGCAGAAAAAGTAAGCAAAACAACATCAATTTTCAAACAACATGCAATGAAACAACGGAAAGCTCCGTCACACAGCAGGGAAAATAAAACCCAGCGGCCTAACCTAGGTCTAGAAGTGGTGCCTTAGCAAACCATTCTATGTGTGTGTAAGGCTTGTGTAGTTTGGATAGGTCCTAAGCAGGGTAGTTAGTTAAAATTGCCTGAAGTTTGGGTTTGTTGTAGGCTAGAAAAGAAAATTTTAATTGAAATTCAAATATTAATGGATTAGAGTCCATTTTAGTTAATATAGTTTGTTGATCAATTTTAAGAACTTAGGATGATGATATTTGAAGTTAGAATTGTATTAGCCAATTTTAGAAAGTCTCGGGTCCTCTAGGAACTAAACTAAGGGTCCAAATTCTACTATGGT